GAGAGAGAGAGAGAGAGAGAGAGAGAGAGAGAGAGAGAGAGAGAGAGAGAGAGAGAGAGAGCTGCACGGTGAGCTGTAGGAAGAAAGGGGGATAGTACAAAAAACGGGGGCCTGCGAATCCAGGAGAGACTTTAAAGCCGCTACCCATGCTTCAAGCATAATCAACATGGACCGAAAAGTAGAGCGGGCTATCACCCATCCCAACAGACAGATGTCTTTCCGAATTGTCAGTAACAGTCCGTAGGGACCCCTACGGATGCTCCAAGCCATAAAAAATAATCTGTCTTGATTAATTGATGCTGACACGGCAGCTATCACCCGTAGCGACCCACCCACACCCCACACCACACACCCCACACCAGACACAAGACTACACAGACGGTTGGGTTCACACCAACTTCACACCAACTTCAAGTTGAAGGTTGGACTGTAGGACTGGGGCCCAGGGGCAGTGGGGTTGCACCCAGGAGAAAATTTAATGAGGAGAGGAGGGTGGGTGGGGTCTCATAAAGGGGGTAAGACCGGGGGAAAAAAAGAAAGAAGAAAAAGTGTGGCTGGGAGAAACCATGAATCCATGATCATGGACAAGAAAGGCCGGCTGTGGCAGAGACTGTTTCATTGTAACTTCGACCCACAGCCATTTATCAGGGGTCTAGAGAAAGAAAAAGTAGAGGCTCCGGGTCGTCGAGGAAAAAGGATGATGGATTCGAACCAGAGCTCACCATAGAGTCTTTGGGGATGCGATAGCCATCGACTTCAACATCTTTCAAGGCCTTTCTAAATGCCGCAGGGACAGGCGAATTGGACCTTAGACCTGTTGCACAGGCAAAGAAATAGGGGTACCCAAGTCAGATAAAGCGAACAGGAGCTTCACATCCGGCTAAGATGAAAAGGGGTTGCTTGACTTTTAAATTTGCTCATTCATAGTTTGTTTCAATACCTTATACCTTACCATGTTTAAATCTCTTTGCAGTTTCTTTCTTCAAATTAATTATCTGTTTTGCATCTCTTTGCTAAGCCAGTTCAACTTTAGGTTTGTTCTGAAAACACCCCACATCAAATTAACTGTTGTACCTTCCTATTCAGAATCAGAATCTGCTGTTAGGTTCAAATTGGGGTCTGCCAGATTTTCCAATCAACCTCTCAAGTTACCCTTAGCTAATGCCAACCAAGGACCTCTCTCTCTCTCTCTCTCTCTCTCTCTCTCTCTCTCTCTCTCTCTCTCAGTTTCCGTTACAGGCTGCGCCTGCACACGAGGGCCATTTTCCAGGCCCTGCGACCTTCAGGCTGAAAGCCTGGAATTCAGGCTAAAAGCCTGAAAACCAGGGCCTACAGGCCCCGTGACTGTTCAGCCCGAAAGCCTGAAAAAAGGGGCCTACAGTCCCTGTGTCGTTTCAGACTAAAAATGGCAATAGCCTTTTTAGCCTGAAATGAAGGGCCATTTTCGGTCTTTCATGAGAACGATCGGCCCTGAAACTCAGGCACCGAACCAGGGTTTCGGGAACAGGCTATTCTTAGCCTGTTCCCACGCCAGCCTCAGCAGATGCTGCAGCGCCAGCCCCTGGCACACTTCGGAATTGGCAAGAGCAGCCTCCTCGGCCTGGCTCGCCCTTTAGGCAGTCAGGAGGCAGGCCGAGGTAGTACATAGGGACTTCCCATGCACTTCACGGGGAGGCAGGAGGCAGTAGTCTTCAGGATTCGGCAGCAGCACTCTGGAGGGAGCGCTGCAGGAGTCATAGTAGCGTTAGCCTTAGTCTTCAGCGCTGGGCGCAGTAGGTAGCTGTAATCTCCAGCGCTGGGCGCCATAGCTAGGATAGCACTAGAGAGAGAGAGGGATTGGGCGGAGGCCAGAGCGCCGTTGCTCCAGCTTCGTCTTCGAGGTACCTGCAGCACAGCGCCAACTTCACAGGTTAGTACCTGGCTCGTAACAGAGAGAGAGAGTTTTTCTTCTTCCTCTCAGTCCACCATCTCCCTCTCACCCTCTCCTTATCTGACTTCACTGCATCTGCAGACTACGAGAGAAGAGTGAGAGAGATAGCTTGGTGACATTGGATCCAGACTCGACTTTTTGGCTTCAGACATTACGACGAGGGATTATTTGGGACTTGTGACAAAGACTTGGTGTTGACGACATTCCCATCTCTCTCCCTCCTTTTGTCTGATCCCCTCCTCTTCGTCTGTGTATGTCTGGACCTGGCGCTTTCTTCCTGTGTACAGCGCCACGCTCCTTCACACCTGGTGATGGATACGATGTATGTTTGGTCTGCGTTCAAACAGTGATCGGGCTACCGTCTTCCCCCGAACATAACGCAGCCTAAAAATGAATGTATACAAGCTATATTTCCGGCCAGATACCGAYAAAATGAGGGTGCGTTGTGTTCGGGGGAAGACGGTAGTCATTAGCATTCTAGCATTCTGCTTCGCTATCTGATACTATGTGAATGAGGTCAGTCCCGGTCAGGTCAGGACTTGTATCTAAGTCTTCCACTGCGCTATTCAGCACCATTTGTATGTATCGGAATGCACATTGCTTGTTGAGATTCTACTTGCACTGCATTGTCCATTCAGTCCTTTTTATGACATTGCGGATCCTCGGTTATTACGTACATCGCCCATCTCGGCATGTAACAGTTGGTATCGGAACGCCGCACGTGAATCAGGACAACCTGATCTGACACGTGTGCGGGGACTAGGTAGCTGATTAGTCTTTATTGATTGATTAGAGCACACTAGTTAGACCCCAAAATCACGATTTTGACCTTACTGCCGAAAATCGATTTTTTTTTTTCTTTTCTTGGATTTTGTTTTCTCCCTATTTCTGTTGTGGAAAATCATAATAGCGCAACATCTGAAATTTCCATTTTCGTTTTTCTTCTGAAAATTCGAAATTTCGTTGTTGAAAATTCGGAATATCCTTCTTTTCGAAAATTTCGATTTCCTGTTGCATTTCCCGTTACTTAGAAATATCTTCTTTTTTTCGAAATTCGTTTTTCTGAAAACGATACAGGAAATCCCTCCTGCAGTATTATTTTCCAAACTGCGAATACTCTCATCTGAGTAAATCCGAATACTTGTCATTTCTTTTCGGAATTTTTTTTTTTCGCAGTTCTAGGATTCTGTTAGTCAGTTCTATAAATCATTTGCAGTCTGAAGTTCGAATTTTTTTTTTTTTCTCTCATTGATAGTTCGAACTTCAAGGGAGGTTGGGAGACCTACTGAACTTGCAAAACTCGGGATTTTTATTTTTCTCGAATTTTTTTTTGCAAAGTTCAAACTTTTCTTTTTTGACTAGTGGCTCCTTATCTGGGCGTTATCTGGGCGATTATCCCACCCATCCCTCCCCACCTATGTTGTTGCCACCTCTCGCCTTACCTTCTCTACCTGTCTCCGGGTACCCCCTGCGGCGGCATTGGTGAGTTGCCACGTTAGCAGGCCATGTCAGCATATCACATCAGCAGGCCACGTCAGCAGACTATGTCAGCAGGCCACATCAGCAGGACACGTCAGCGATGCCACGTCAGCAGCAGGGAATACCACGTCAGCAGGCCCCGGCCTGGTCTATGCCGTTGCGTTCACAAACAACCGTCATGGACCAGAGGTCCGGAGAAGCAGACGAGGCCTATCACGCCCGGATGCTGGCCTGGAGTACCGAAACAAAGAAACGGGCAGATGACGCAGCAGCAGCAGCGAAGAAGAAGGCAGAGGATGCCGAGCAGGCACGTCTGATGGCACTTGACCAACAGCGCCAGCATGACGAGGCAGCAGCAAGGGCTGCCGATGAAGAAAGAAACCAACGTCGTGAGAAGATATTTAGTGGAGAGCAGACTTTGCTCACAATGGCAGCGGAATGGCGGACCGAGGCCGAGAATGGCAAGATGGGGGATAGCGAAAACAAGATCACTCTCCTCCTCTCCCATCTCACAGACCTCCTGGCAACCTGTATTACCCAGCAGGAGGATATCCACAGCCTCGACGACCGCTACCTCAAGTACAAGGCCGCCTCCAGCAGCTGGAGCAGCGACCTGTCGCCGCCCCCGATGCAAGCTCTTCCCACACCTCCGATCGCAAGCATTGGAGATGGACGTCGGCTCCCTCAAGGACGGCGTGCAGTTACAGCAGGCCGCAACGCAACAGTTGGAACAGCGGATCTGCACTACTGCCAATATCCTGAGTTCGGAACCGCGCGAGACACCTCCAAAGTTTGATGGGCAGGAGATCTTCTGCGACTCGACGACGACAAATCCGATCCCATGGTTCCGCAAGTTCCAGCTCACGCTACAGCTAGTAAGCTACACAACGTCAAAGAACACAAGCACCACGCATACTTATACTCTCGTTCAGGGGGCGCGTGCCAGGCTTGGTTGGACAATCTCTTGTCCAAGTACGGCGTAGTAGCTGGCGACTTGCACACCAAGATCAACTGGGATGATCTGAAGGCGGCGTGGCACAAGCGGTTCCAAGTAGAGCCGTCGGAGATCAAAACCATGGACAAGCTAATGGTCTTCGAGCAAGGCACGCTGCCGAGTACCGACTGGATTGCCGAGTACCAACGCTTGACATCAGTCCCAGATATCTTGATGGGCTTCAAAGCCATCCGCCACTACTTCATCACAAGGTCCTGTCCGACATTAAGCAATGCCCTGACTCACGTCGAGGACACCTTGACGACGACGGTGGAACTTTTTGACAAGGCCGCGCAGATCATCATTACGAACAAGGAGGCTAAGAACCTGCGTTTGTCTGCGGCAGGCCCGAGCAGAGACCAGGATCGACCAAGAGTGGCCGTGGTTGCAACAGCAACGCCGTTTGACCAAACTAGCGAGGTTTTGTCTGCCAATGAAGGAGACAGAATCGCAGCCCCCCGGGAAGGTGGCCGCCCCGGTAAAGGCCGAGGACGCGGCAAGACGAAGACACACACCGCATCTAGCCTCGGGCCCGGCGCAGCAGCTCCAGCCCCTTGGTCCCAATATGGCATCTCCGAGCAAGCATTCAAGGCGCGCATGAGATTCCACTATTGCCTACGGTGCAACAACGATCTCCATGAGACATTGGCCTGCCCATTGAAAGGCAAGGGCAAACAGGGAAACTGAGCACCGCCGAGAGTGACTCAACAACACTCTCGACACCTCGGAACTGGTTTCTTTGCGAGTACTCGGCCTTCATTCCGAGGCGCATGCGGAAGAAGATAGTCCTCCTCTTCTATATTCTTTTGAGGACTACGCTACCCGGCTCGTTCCTACGCTGGGTACTCAAGCTCAAGGACAAGACGTGTGTGGCACTGTGTGCAGCATCTTCTCCATCCCGCAGCGGCGACTTATCGTCTTCAAGTGGTTCTTCACACGATTCGGCGCGCGAGCTCAACATAGAGGTATTGGACCCGTTCACGTCCGAGGACTTTGCATGGCTTCCTCTCCCGACCACAGACCGCTTGCCGGGACTGCAATGCGCAGCACTATGCGCGCATCTCCACACGTACTTATCCTTCTATGCACCACCAACTTCGCCGAAGGATGACGCAGTCGCGGTGGTGGACATCCTTGCGTATGTTACCAAGGTGGCCCGCGAGTTTCGCATGCAGCGGTACGATGACAACAACGCACCGCTCATCTATGTCCGCATCCAGGTTGGGCAAGCGTCCTGCATCACTTTGCTGGATAGTGGCGCGTCTCGCAATTTCATGAGCCAATCCTTTAAGCAAAGGGCTGGCCTTGGCGCACAAGTTCGGAGGAAGGCAAACCCGACGACGATCAAGTTGGCGGATGGAAAGACGCAGCAACTTCTCGACCGTTACATCGCACCTCATGCATGCGAACC